AAGGACGGCGCCTGTTTACAGTATAGTGTCCCCATCACTATACTGGGGCATTAGGACCCACATGGACCACAGGGTGAGCGCCCCCTGCTGGCCCCACTAACACCTCTAACACCTCGTTAGTTGGTTTCTGCAGCATTGGCACTGGTGTGAGTGCATGCGTGATTGTGTTTGTGTCCGCCCTGCGATGGACTGGCATCCCATCCAGGGTGTGCCCTGCCTGGCACCCAGTGCTTTCCAGGTTAAGCCCCAGGCCACCATGATCCTGAATTGGATCAGGATGTTTTAACCTGAGCATTTCCAAATAGTTTTATTATTTTTATACCATGCAATCACATGACAGTTGACCTAATGAGCAGCAAAGTTTTTTTTTACAGGAGAACGCTTTGCTTAAAAATGAAAAAATATGTTCATTTACAATGTGTATGTTTAAGTATCTTCTTGTTTGTATTCATGTTAATTCTTATAAATCAGGTTTCTGTCATTTGACTTCTGAATTGTATGTCCTTTTTTATTTTTTTGTTCTAGGAGTTCCAGTGATGTACTGCCTGTTAGAAGTGGTGTCTGTTTATCCACAAAAACTTGCCCCTAAATTCATTGACAGAATTGACTGGATCAAGGTGACGTTACATTTGTGAATCAGATTATATTGAGCACCCTTGATTTCAGTCGGCTGTACTTCTTTTATCATTTACCTGTTGGAACATTTAAAGTTTAACACTAAAATCAAAGTTTATGGAGTGCATTCATATTACTGATATAACACTCTGATAAAACAAGTTTAAATATTTATTAAATAATTTACAATTACATTTACATTTACGTCATTTAAATAATAGTAATTTACTAAAACTTTGTGGTGTTCGGGATACTTAGGATTGTCAAATAAGTTTCATGTCTTTTCTTTGAACTGCTTGCTTACCTTACGCCTTTGTGCTGTTTTTACGTGTCTTTTTTAAGCCTGTGAACACTTTTCTATAGACGATGTGAAGGTAAAACAAAAACTTGTGTGTTGGATCACAATGTCTTGGTTGGTAAACGATGATACACATTTGAAGGGTTCACATTTAAAATCTGCTGTAGGAAACACAAAAACTTTTTTTAGTTATTATTAATTTGGCTTAAGCTTTTATCCCTACCAATTTGTATATGTACCCATTTAGCCTTCATACTACTGCTCTGTTTCCCTATTAAGAAATGAATGTGTCTGAAGGGTGTCGTTTTCTGCTTTCGTACAGAGTCTAATGAACACTAACAAGGAAGACATGCGTGAACTAGCAGCCCAGCTCTATGCTGTGGTTGTATCCACCATGTCTGGGAATGAACTGAAGACAGCTGTGCAGAATCTTGTCAAGATCACAAAAGATGCTCATGTAAGTGTTTCAATTTCACTTGCACATTATTGCTGGAATAGCTCGCAGCTGTGAGGCCAGTGCATTTAATTATCAATTAAAAAGATCTAAGGCTTGACCTTTCGGTTTTGATTATTCCTGCAAATAAAGCATTTGCTAGAGAATGTAGGAATGAGATGAGCACTAGCTGATTTGTTGTTCGTCAGTGGGAAAACCAGAAAAGACAAAATAGAAAAGAACATCACTTGAGATAGTTCCTAAGGACCCTGATCTGTGAGGTGCAGATATAGCATGAGCCATAAATAACTGGTGGCTCATTTCAGTGATTTCAAATTCATCGCAAGTGGGTTTGCATACCAGGATACTGGAGGTGGCAAATGAATAATAAACTAGCCTTCTGTCACATTTTCTTTAGATCTACTTAGCATGATGTATGTCTAATATAGGTTTAATAGATTCTATTTTACACTTTCTTTTCCTTTATCTTCTCAAAACGTATCAACGGTCTCTTTAAATGAGGCATTGCAGGCAGTAAGGACTTTAAATAAGGTCAGAAAGAAAATCACTTTGTGACTTTTTTCTAGAATCCAGAAACGCAGCATGGAGCGATTTTGGCTTTGGGTTACATGGTTGGCCGATACCTTAGAAAAAAGAAAAGCTTAGATGACTTCCAAAACCTGGAACCAGCCATGAGCGCAAGCCTGGGAGAAGATGATGAACTGATCCGTTCTGCCACAAAAACTATCGGTAACTAGCCTCCAGTGATTTTTTTATCTGTCTTAGTAATTTTAATCTTTTATTTGTCTGAATGTGTCTCTCTTTCATCAGATTCTTAATCTCTCTATTAAACCACATTTTACTGACTGTAAGTATTCAGTATGAATTTAGTACCCTTTGATACAGTTTTTTTTGTTGATATTAAATGAAGTAAATGTATATGTGTGGTATAAATACTTTTATAGATTTATAAAGTTATATGTTACCTACAACTAGTTCAAGTAGGGAGTTGCGTCAGCATGCGTAGGCTGCAAAGGAACAAGTAAAGGTTTATTCCGTGCTGAAAAGAGAAGAAAGGAAACACAATGTTTCAGCTGTGGAGCCTCCTTCGGGTGTTTCCTTTCTTCTCTTTTCAGCAAGGAATAAACCTTTAACTTGGTTCTATATGTTACCTATTGACCACTGTTTGTTTCATTTCATATTATTCTTTGCGAAAGCCACAATGCCTTTGCAATAACAGAAGGTTTTTTGGACATGGGTCTCAATAATCAACTTCACAAGAGGACAGGCCTATCTCTATAATACAAGTGCTGATGTGAAATCTGTTGAATCATTATTCACAGGGTCGTTCCTGGACAGCAGCTCTCCGCTTCTGAGCATCGCTGCCTGCACTGCCCTGGGTGAGATCGGGAGGAACGGCCCCCTGTTGATACCCAGTGAAGGCTCCGACTTCACAAAGCTGCACATGGTGGAAAACCTGCTGGCCCGCATACCATCTGGCAAAGAGAGCTCTAAGGTACCTTGGAAAAGTTCTATTAAATTAACATAGTTTAACCCTGAGTGTCCAGTCTGCAAAGCCGCTTGTGCAAATTCTGGTAGGCCACAAACCTACACTGGCAGGGAACACAATAAGCGTGAAAGAATGTAAAGAAAAGGCTAGGATATGAAAAAGTCTGTACCTGCATTAGATGTACCTATGACCTCCAGCAACACTTTTAAAGCAACTATAGCTGACATTTTGTTTCATGCTGCAAAAAACTAAAAAGAAAGAAACATAGGTAGTAAGAATTATGTTAAGAGGCTCTCCTACTTAAATTATTCAACAATGGATGAACAATAAATTCCACCCCTGCATTGACTGAAACGCAAAAAAAAAATGAATAACACTGATAAGATTAGAAACAGGAGAATTGTTTGTAACTTTTTTTCTTGATGTGCTGGTCAAATTACAATTTAGTGCCCTTTCATGTTTTCTTTTGCTGAAATGCAGTACATGACACAGTATATATATGATCATGAAAAAATAAGATTCTTTGATGGATGAGGAAGGAGTGTATTTCTAAAGGAAATACAGAAAACTGTGTGGAATATTCATGTAGTGATAGTAAGACAAATAAGTCTTTTGTTGAGAGCGACTCGTATGAAAAAGCATCAGACTTTATTTTCAGTTAGAAATGAACTGTTAATTAGGTCCTTAATTCATTGTGCAGGGATTTAATTGTAATCACATTTTGCATTAATTCTGATTGGTTCTTATTGGTACAGATGAAGGAACGTGCCATACAGACGCTTGGGTATTTCCCAGTCGGTGATGGAGAGTTTCCTCATCAGAAGAAACTGCTTCAAGGCCTAATGGACTCAGTGGAGGTACGATGCAGTTTATCCAAGAGTGTGGCTGGGGATTTAATGATATATGTGTACTTAAATATTGTACATTGTACAGTAAGATACAGTAAATTGGCATGCCTACATTTGCTTAGATATTAGTCTAAGGATATTTTCAAGTTTCCTTTATGGCAAATGCTATACTGTGGTCTATAATTATAAAATCTGCCTTGCATATTTTACCTTCAGAAGATGCTTTCAAATTTTGCTGGGGGGGGTCTTCCAAGACCTAATATTTCCTAAGACCAATTCCTAATATTTAATGTCACAGTCATGTCTTTAAGCTACTCAGATTTCAAAGAGGCTGTATTGCTTAAAACATTATACTCCTCAAAACCATTATTTACAGCCTGCACAACTCATTTCTTCTTCTTCTTCTTCTTTTTAGGTGTGAAATTAATTGATTGATTAATTGAAAGCAAATAATTTACAGTTTGAAAGTATGAAGAAAAAAATGTAAAGTAACCTGTTTTATAATTATATGAAAAGGTCTAATTTATTAGAACTTAGTTGAATCAAACAAGCCAAATTGTATTGTAGAGTTAATTTGCATAGTGTATGCTTCCATGGTGATTTGCAGACACACTACCTTCCATACGGTAGATGAGGAGCTATGTATTGGAATAAACTCCTTTCACTGCTGTGCAGGATCTGAATTAGATGCAAACAGAGGTGTAACAGAAACACTGAAATGGCTCAAACTGAAAAAGAAAACTGTGTAACTTGACAGTGAGAGAGCTGGGGTTCTGCCTGGGCTGAAAGATTGTGAGTGGGCCCAGCGCTTGGCGTATGGTCGACAGACATTTCGTTTTTCCTTATTCCTCGCACAAGGCCAAGCAGGTGGAGCTGCAGTTCACCGTCGGGGAGGCCATAACCAGCGCCGCCGTGGGGACCAGCTCTGTGGCCGCTCGAGACGTGTGGACCTCAAGCGAGGAGGAGTACACCCCGCCAGCCAGTATGTTCCCCTGTGTGTTCATTTCCCCCTAGCTGTGTGTGATTGCACTTATTACTTACCGGATCATACAAGGCACAGAGACATGATCCAGAAGGAACTGTCAAGCCTAAGTGATCTAAAAATAGCAGAAGAAAATGTCCTGTGACACTCCTTTCCTTTATGAGTCCATTATTCATTTGACACTACAAACCTTCATCTGAAAGTGCACTGTATTGAAGTTGCGTAAATGTTGGATCTCATGGTACTTAAATGTGTGTAAGTAAGTAGACATATTAGAGACCAAAATAATTCTGGGTTCCTTTTATTTGACACTGGCTAATAGTTTTAAAAATAAATATTTCGTGATAAAAGAGGTGGATGATACAAAAATCAGTGTTTGTTTTTGTGTTGTTTTTTCCAGCTTTTACAAAATGGAGTTGTTTTACTATTGTTGCAACCAGGTGTATCATGTTTTGATGTTGCAGGCCTGTTTCATAACACTTAACATTGAAGGAGATTGGCTATTCTGTTTCCTTTACACTATGTGCTAAGAACGTTTACTATAAATACTTTCAGGAACCTAGGTCACAGAAGCACATGTGTGTACCTCCATCATTTCTGACAAAATGACAAAATATTGCAGATGTCCTTTCCATTTGCTTTATAAATGACATCTCGTACTGTATTGTGAAGAAGAAAAAATATATAGACTGTGCCTAAGTTTAGGTTAAGTTGAAGTTATAGGTTATCTTCTACACATTTGCCTATTGCGAAAACCATTGTTATCAGTCTAATTCTAACAAATTATAATTGGTTAAAGACCATTTACTACAAACTAAACAGCTGCCAGGAGCTGCTGATGTTTTCTTGTTTGTTGAGAATATTAAGCGCGTAATCATAGCTTTCAGAAACATTGTCTTTGTATTAGAGATTGCAGCAGCATACAAAAAATAGTCAGGATTCATTGCTTTGTGCATTTTTCACACCTGCCTGTACCACTCTGTCTAAAAGAGCTCGGCTTCATCCCCTCCAAGCTACTGTTACTGAAAAAGCTCTCGCCTCCCTCAGATGCCAAGTCAAACGATGTGGTTCCCTGGGTTTTGAACACCATCCTCAGCAAGCACATCGCCAGCTCCAACCCACACGTGCGCCAGGCCGCTTGCATCTGGCTGCTCTCCCTGGTGAAGAAGCTCAGCCACCACAAGGAGATCAAGGTAAACAGACGGGAACTTGCAGTGGCTCGTGGGAAAACTCCATACAGTACCTAGGTCTACATGTCTTTCACAAAGGGATATTTCCTAAGCTGTTTTATGATATAGTAAATGTGAAATGGTGAAACGCAACTGACTTAGATAATATTGAAAAAACATCATGAGTAGGCCATTGTGCCTTCAGTGGAGAAGTCTGTAAGTTAATTGTGATCTTAACATAAGTGGTAAAGTCTTTTTGTGATGCATCTTGAGTAGTCACTGTAGGGCAGGTTACCTGTGCTGAAGCCAATGTTATACAATTGTTTGGATCCTAGTTCCTCTGAAGACTTTAACCAACTTGTTTTTTTCACAGTCCCATTTGAAAGAAATCCAGAGTGCATTTATCTCAATCCTGTCTGATCCCGATGGTGAGTACATTATGTACATTGGAAATGAAGTCATTGAAAACGACAAAACGTAACTGGGGAAAAAATGGGAAGGAGATTTACTGTGTCTTTATTCTCTTAATATTTTTGTTTTTACGATGCATTTTTGCCGAGTGAATGCACTTTGACTCTGTGTCTTTTGATAGGCAGTATAAAGTTTTTAAAAAGTATTTTGTTAGATATGTGGTCAGATATGTCGACAAGCCTGTGATTGATTTTCAAAGGAGGTATAAGGATTCTGATGTGTTTTATTGAATACATTATTGAAGTATTACGCAATATTACTGATTTCTGATATGGTTTCAATGTTGACAGAACTGAGCCAGGATGTGGCCTCCAAAGGCCTGGGCCTGGTATATGAACTGGGCAGCGAACAGGACCAGCAGGAGCTGGTCTCTACACTGGTGGAGACACTGATGACGGGGAAGAGGTATGCTGACTTATTCTGGGCTCTGGTGGGTTTTTTCAGCATCTTCAATAAATGCTCGCACGTTTGTTTTAAGAATAATTCATTACAATTACATGACACTTTTTTGGACACTCCACTCAAAGCACTTTACAGGTATTGGGGACTCTCCTCCACCACCACAAATGTGCAGCCCCACCTGGATGATGCATAGCAGCCATAGTGCTCCAGTGCACTCACTACACACCAGCTATCAGTGGAGAGGAGAGTGAAGAAGCTAATTCATAGATGGGGATTATTAGGAGGCCATGATTGTTAAAGGCCAGGTGGAGGAATGTTGGCCAGGATGCCAGGGTAACACCCCTGCTCTTTTCAAGAAATACCCTCGGGTTATTAATGACCACAGAGAGTCAGGACCTCGGTTTTCCATCTCACCCAAAGGATGGTGCCTTTTTACAGTATAATGTCCCCATCACTATACCAGTGCCCCCTACTGGCCTCACTGACATCTCTTCCAGCAGCAACCAGGAGACTCCCATCCAGGTACTGACCAGGCTCCCACCTGCTGAGCTTCAGTGGGCTGCCAGCTGGGAGTTGCAGGTCTATATGACTGCTAGCATATATGGATTTGCATGTGTTCAGCTGTAAGGACGTGATCTTTGCTGTTATTTATTTCTGATAAAAAAAGAAAGAACTGTACTTTTTTCCCCCCTCTTTCCCCAAGGGTCAAACACGCCGTCTCGGAAGACACTGAGGTTTTCCAGGGAGGCGCGCTGGGGAAAGCACCAGACGGGTGAGTGCCTGTGACATTGAGCGTCGGAATTACACAGAGCCACTGGGACCATCCTGTTTCAGTCAAAGTCAAAGCAGGAATTACCTTTTCATTCGAAAAACCTGTTTATCCACTCAAAACAAGCAGGGGGGATCCTTTCATTGAAGTGTTTTCTCATGAAATAATTCCTGTTTGCGTGCAGCTGACACATGCTTCTCCCTGTTCCTGTATCTCTTACAGAATATTTGTGTTTGTTGAACACTTCTTTTTCACCCTTGGGTTGGCTTTATCAATACCTGTGAGGACAACTGAATATATGAATTACGTACCATCGTAATTGCTTTCAGGACTATAGAGATTAATTTTCTTAAACCTGTCCAAATCATTCTTTTAAGGACAGGAATCAACCTTGCTACCCTTCTCTTGAAACTGTAGAGCAGTATTGTCTTTTTCATGGGAGTTGCAGTTGGCAGTACCGTGAAAACCACAACATCGGTAAATGGTGGTGGTGATGACCCTAAACACAGTAATTACTTTAATGGAAATGAAAGGCACCCTGTGTTGCTGGTCACTGGACCTCAGTATCGTTGGAATACTGTAGGACAAGTTTGGCAGAAAAGGGAAAAACGAAGACAGTGTCAGTTTGCGCTGGAAATGCTAATGACCAAGTGAACAGCAGCAGGCAGCGAGAGTGTTAAGATTCTATGGAAGAATAAGCATTTTATTGTCAACAAGGGAATAATTTCCTGTTTTCTGGAAGACTGCAGTAACGCATGTCCTCTTGTAGTATTTTCTATTAAAAACGTCAATAAAAAATCATATTGGTAAATGATTTATGCCATTTCTTCCTTTGTGTGCTGTATTGCAGTAAGATTAACTAGTCACCAACATATTGACAGCTTATGTATGTAAAATATTAAAGAAAAATTGGAAAATGTTTTATTGCACATACGGTAAAATTATGTTCACTTTTCAAGGGAGGTTTGTTTCATTATTTTGACAGGGTCAATTTCAGTATGGAAGAAATAACAAATGCGCTATGTCAAATGTGAAAATAAGATGTAAACCTAGTGCTACAAGGATCTTAAACTGCATGGTAATGAGCAGCACAGATTTACAAAACTGTGTTCTCTCTAAATAATAGAAATGCTGGAATAGGATTTATGCTATTTCCTGTTGTAGTTTCACTTGTGCAAAGTGGTGGAAATGTGGAAGTGGATACGTAGTTAGAGGACATGCATTAAATGAGGATTCCCATTAAGTTTTAAAAACAATATAATTTACAGCTGTTTTTCCTGTGCTTCTTTTTTTTATGATTTGCAGTCAGTCCTTATCTACCTACAAAGAGCTGTGTTCTCTGGCCAGTGACCTTAACCAGCCCGACTTAGTCTACAAGTTCATGAACCTGGCTAATCATCACGCCATGTGGAACTCCAGAAAGGTGCCCTTTTCAATTCCTGTGCATAGAGTGAACTTAAAAAGCAAGCATCCTTCATTTTTTAAACCAGGGATCTTTTACCTTTTTAACTGTTCTGTGGAAACCCCACTTTCACCCTAAAATATACATTGAAATCTATTATTAGTTATTATTCTTAATACTGCCACTATTTATTAGAAAATATTTATAGGTGATGGTAAACTTATTTTTCACTGATAGTTGAGTCCATTTAATAGAACAAATTATTCTAATACCGAACAAATTAAGGAGGGCTGGTTCTTTTGTAGCAAAATAATTGACATTTAAACATCAGGCTGTTCTGTTACTCATGTCCAGCAGACCTACCTATGGCAATAAATAAGCTACACATTGACAGCACGGAAAGATACTTTCTAATGGAGGCTTAAATACTGGTACATTAAATTACAGTGACAGTATGCAATCATTATGACTGTGTATGCCAGAGTGTTCATGGCGTTAACCATAATAATAGTCAGAAGGTGGCCGAGTGCAGACTCTAGGACAATAATAAGATGTTCTAGATGACTGTAAGACCTAGAACCACAGTGATACTAATAATGACAAAACAGCACCGACAGCACCTGTCTGTTTAAATAAGCGTCTCTTCTTCCATTGTTCTGGTCTTTATCGTTTTTCTTTTCTCCCCATCGCCAGGGTGCTGCCTTTGGCTTCAACATGATAGCCACAAAAGCTGGAGAACAACTGGCTCCATATTTATCTCAGCTGGTCCCCCGTCTGTACCGGTACCAGTTCGATCCAAATCTCGCCATCCGACAAGCCATGACCAGCATTTGGGATGCTCTCGTCACAGACAAAACAACTGTATGTTTCCGTTCTCTCTGTCTAAATATGCATGCTGTGCAGCTTTCACATACAAGACACGTACTCTCACATCGACAGCACCTGTTTGAAAATGCAACTTAAAATAATGTATTTGTTTAAATTGCAAGTTCTGTTCAGTCTTGGAATTTGTAGCAGTAATTTAGTTCCTTGGCTTGCACTAGTGAAACATCCAAGAGTTTAGTTCTATTGATCTGTCATGAAATTGTTCTTTTACAGTTCAAAACTACAGTATCTTGGTATTCTGTCTACAACCAGTGGATCGTTTTTACCAGTGTAGTACTGAATATATTCCCTGCCCTTCTGCAGAGTATATGCCTCTTCTTATCTGGCCTGCAATAAAGCCTCTTTGAATCATGTCTATTGAAAATTGAAAATGATCATGTAATTTATTTTTTTTTACTGTTTTGAGGACTTTAATATGTAACTTCAAAGCTGGCAAACAAGAGGAGGCCCATCTACTGTGTTTGGCTGCTGGTAGCTGATTGATCTGAGGACCATTTCTAATGAAAAATGTCTTTTTCATTCAGGTGGATAAATACCTAAAGGAAATTCTTCAGGATGTGATCTCCAACCTAACCAGTAATATGTGGAGAGTCCGCGAATCAAGGTGAAGAAAGTTCTGTTTTTTATTCACAGAGCATGACTTCAGTCCATATCATGTGTATTTGCATAGACTGGCCATGAATCATACGTGAAAATGCTGTGCTTACTGCTTAAGTGAACAAACTCTGTAGTGAATACCACAGATGCTTAGTGCATGACTAAAAAAATAAAGTCTAAGCTTCATCCTGAATCCACACCTGTAGGCCACTCAGTGTAATGTAAGGAGGTGTTTAAAGCTGAGCTTTTTTTCTCTTGTGCAGCTGCTTGGCCCTGAATGATTTAATACGTGGAAGACAGCTGGATGACATCATTGACCAAATCCCAGAAATGTGGGAGACCTTGTTCAGAGTGCGGGATGACATCAAGGTAAAATGCTTTGCTTTAGAAGTACAACACAGGCGAGAAACAAAAACAGGTTTTCCTTCTCGAGTTGGATTTTAAATGACTTGTGCCCACCTGTGCTGAGCAAAGCATAACTGAATTTAATGCCAAGCTTCTGCTTTGATTCGGAACTATAAACTTGTTTATTTATTGCAATGCTGGGAAAGCAATAAGGCCATTACTTGTCCCTAAATAAAGTCTCACCTAATCTCTCATTAGTAGTTTTTTTAAGTTTAAATATTTATTCTTCATGGACAATCTTAACATTTAATTTGAGCTCTTTGGAAGAACATTGCTGTAAGCCCTATATCTCAGAACCTTGATGCTTTCTTTCCCTTATCATGACAAATCGGTTGGTTCCCTCTCTCTTGTTCCTGCAGGAATCGGTTCGGAAGGCAGCTGATCTAGCTCTCAAGACCCTCAGTAAGGCAAGTCTATCTTGTACATTCGTATCTGTGGCCCGTTATGGGTGTTCAGCGTCACTCGTTAACCTTCAGTGTTTGTATACACCGAAATCAGGAACATTTGACACTTTTATGAAGTGATGTTATGACATGTCGTGACCAAACGGAACGCACTTCCCCTTGCGAGAGGGAGGGCATTTCTGCCGCGTGAACCGCCGGGGAGAGAGGGTGAGATTGTCAGTGCCGGGCTGCTGTCTCCCCGCTGCAGGTGTGCGTGCGGATGTGCGAGTCGTCCAGCGCCGCGGCCCAGCGGACAGTCGCAGTCCTCCTGCCCTGCCTGCTGGACAAAGGAATCATGAGCAATGTGTCGGAGGTCCGGGCCCTCAGGTGAGCATGAAACTGAAATGCTGATTTTAAATCCTTTCTCTTGAGTGACGTTCCCTAGTTTCCAACTCCCGAAAGAGATGTTCATAGTTCTGCAGCTGCTTGGTAGGTTATTACTTAAAATTAATTTAAACATTGAAAATGATGTGGTCTTTGAAAGATTTTGAAAGAGGAATAACTTTGCGATAACTTATTTGTGCAGCAGAAAGCTTGGAAACTTTTCAGACAGTTTCTTAATGCCTTGTGCAGGTTAACAAAGCAGCATATTTATGAGAGCATATATCAGGCTTAAAAAAATCAGAGTTTTCCTACTGAAAAAGACTCAGTCTTTTCATGTTCGGTATACAGGTAGTGATTTAATCCCCAGTTCCTGATTTTGTGTTATCAACACCGTTCAGCATTCAGACGCTGGTGAAGATCAGTAAGAGTGCTGGCTGCCGGCTGAAGCCCCATGCTCCCAAACTGATACCTGCCCTGCTGGAGTCTCTCAGTGTGCTGGAGCCGCAGGTCCTGAACTACCTGAGTCTGCGGGCCACAGAGCAAGAAAAGGTAAGATGCACTGCTAGCTTCCCACATGGCGGTAAACTCAAGTCACGTCAACTGAAAGTCTAGCACATATTCTAGGTCCCTTTTAAGGGGAACTACCGTCCCAGTTTCTCAGACAGGTAATTGAATCTTGGTAATAAAATAGACGGTAGCGCAAAATTCTAAAAATCCCTTTGTGAAAGGGCTATATGGTCTCCATGTTGTCGCAAACCGCTGGTTTCATCACGGCCGAGAGCGAGAGTCTGCGAATTGCAGTATGAAACAGCCCATCCTGCACACTAGTCACTGTAATGTATAAGCGAATACGTACAGGTTGTGCGGCCACAGAAATGTGATCCGCATGCAGAGTTAACAAATAAGTAGTATTTGTGCGTTAAAGTGTTTTGTTGCCTCGTTCTGAATCCCAGACAAGCGCATACCTGGAAATGTAATCTATTTTGTGATGTTAATTGCAGGTTTTACACGTTTCTGTGTACATTGTACTTTCATTGGGGTTTGAAATTCACTCATCAAAGCTAGTTCTTTGTAACCCTGAAATATAAAAATAGCATTGCAGTTCCTCTTTAAATCTTTGCAACCTGAAGGCCTGTGGGGCGTGGTTAACTAGATTCAATTACCCCTTAATTCAGCCAGTTAAGCCCTATTCCTCAATTTGAGTAAGAGGCAAATGATTTGGCAGAGACCTAGAAAACCTGCTGGATTGAGGACTGAAGTTGGGGAACTCTCCTGCAAGGAGATTGGTTTGCCTGTAAAAAATAAATTGCCGAATGTTACAATTATAGATTAATATATTGTGTTTTTAGTATATCCTTTTAAATAAAAAAAATCTGTCTACTGTTTTCACTTTCAGACAGCAATGGACACAGCAAGACTCAGTGCAGCTAAGTCTTCGCCAATGATGGAAACCATCAACATGGTAAAACTGATGTTCTTTGTCGTGTTTTGTGTGTCGCTTCCGCACTTTACTGTATCTGTACTTTTACTGAATTTGATAAAACAGGCCTTTGATAAATAACAGAGCACACAGACCATGCGTCATTGTTTCAAACTGAGCACTCAGTTGCTTAATTGAAACCTTTGAAGAATTTTTGTAGTTAGATCTATGCCCTTTTAATTGTTTTATCTCTTCAATAGGTGCGACCTGTAAGGACTTGATAGTAGTAGAAGTTTTCAGTAAAGTCGCAGTTCAGATAAAGGTTGAGTAAATAGTGTTCATTGGCCAGGAAGCCCAGAAGGTTTTCCGGAGCCATTAGGAACAGGTCTGGGAAGCTCTTTCCTCAACATCTTTCCTGTCTCCACCAGCGTTCTTCTTTTCACTTACAACTAACAGGACATGGTAGATCATGTCACCTTTGCAGTAGGAAAAACAAAACAATAATGAATTCCCTCTTCTGTAACTGTGGCTGTATACCCTTCATAGTCTTTGCCATTATTCAGTGGTTGAGCGCTGCTAAGCTTGGTGTAGGGGTCACTGAGCTGATAGTGGCAAAGCCAGTGTCACCCCTGTATATGCTAAAGGCCCATTTCCCTGTGCTTTCTGTGTCTGTCATTGTAACCCTGCTCTGTGCTGCTTTTCAGTGCCTGCAGCACTTAGACGTGTCCGTTCTAGGAGAGCTCATACCAAAGCTGTGTGACCTGCTGAAGAGCGGAGTTGGTCTGGGCACAAAGGTAACTTTGCTGTTTTTCTGTTTTCTTGGTTTTTGCCAGAGTTGCTCAGCAGTAAGTTCTGTTATGAACATCTGATCCTATTTTTTTTCATCGGCTGTGGTGTGAGAATGTATCTGGGTTTGAAACACACAGTACTATCTTTGAACGTTACGTTCATCTGGCAGACTTGTTTGGAGGCACTTGAAACCCATTCATTTTCATGCTCCCTGTAGACTTCTTCATTAGGTTCCAAAATGTAATTGAATTATTAACAGTACACAATATGCTGTTTAACAGAAAAATTGTAGCTGACAGCATTGCGGTTTCTGAAAACATTGCACTTACTTTTTAAACGTGGATATCTAACCCCACATCATAAAATAATTGTATTGTTCTGTTATTGGAGAACTGTACGGAGCCATGTGAAACAATTAATACTGTATATTAATCAGTTATAAAAGTGCACTTCTATATTCTGAAACCTACCACAAGCAAAATATAAGAGAATAACCTCTATGGAGGAGATTAGTAGGAATGATGCACACAGTTTTCAGCATGTATTATTCATTGGGTGATGTAATTCTTCAGCTGTTAAAAATATCTGGTTACCAGTTTTCACACAGTTTAGCAATGCTTAGCATATTTAAAAGACGTGTCAGAGGAGTCATCTTGCAGAAATACTGATATTAATGAGACGGAAAGATTGACAATTTCTGCTTTGCTTCCTATGGACCATTTTAATTTTGAAGGAAGGTAGAAATTTCTAGATCATCCTGACCATGTTTTTTTTTTCGTCCGTACCTTCTAGCTCTTCTTCGTTATTTTTGCCCCGTTTTTCAAATTGTTTTGTGGAAGATGAGAGATTTGATTAAGCCCAGTACAGAATCACTGAGGCTGCAGTGTGAAACGCATGGGTAGATGTGTGGTGACTATCAGTCATTTGCTTGTGTTCCAGGGAGGCTGTGCCAGTGTTATTGTTTCACTGACTATCCAGTGCCCTCAAGACTTAACACCGCATGCAGGCAAGTAGTCAGCATCCGCCTACCTGTTTGTGTTTCAGAGGTATACACCACCCTCCAGAAGTGAAGGGAGAATAAGGTCAAAGCTGTTCATTTATTTTCTAGTCAAGCAGTGTTTGTGTGTGATCATCAGATTAATGTGAATGATAAGTACAGTATAGTACACATCTTATATGTGGGTTTTAGTGCATCATTTAGTAATTAATCAGTTCTTCAAATGCATACGTTTTCAGTTAAGGGCCAGAACAAGAAACTTATGTATTAGCCTTGCAGTGTGTTCATTTAATGTGCTTATGACAGCCTCTGTATTTTGTGGCAGGTAAACTGATGAGTGCTTTGCTGAACGGACTAAATGACCGAAGTAGTGTTGTTCAGAAATCGTTTGCCTTTGCGCTGGGACATTTAGTTCGGGTGAGTTAATTCGATTGTCGTTCCGGCAGTGTTGCAGTTAAGACGTCAGGTAATTTAACGAGATTTTCTTTGACAGACTGCAAAAGACAGTAGCGTGGAGAAACTTCTGCAGAAGCTCAATACCTGGTACTTGGAGAAAGAAGGTAGGACAAAAAAAGATTCTCTTTAAATTATGTTGTCATATTTGTTTTTCCCACCTGATCATTTTGCAACACATTACAACAGTGTACATTGTTCAGAAGCAGCATCTAAAACAAAAGGACAAGTCCAAAAGGATTAGGTAATCACTATGTCAAAAATATTTAAATGTAAAACCTATTCTGACAGCTGTTGTGCCATCTGAAAGACAATAATTATGAAGTTTAAAGATTAAAGTAATAGTGATGCAGTAATATAGTCCGAGTTTTAGTTTTCCTACATGTTTGGATCTATTTTAATGTTACTTATCCAGAGGTTTCATTTGTTGTGATGTGAATGTGTTGCATGTGTTATAAATCAAATTAATTGGCATTAATTGTCTTAGTAAAATTTCAAAAGACTTTTGTATCTACAGTTTCAGTGTCAGTGCTTTTATGAATTGAAACAACTGAAGCTAATGTATAGAGAGCCTTAAATCTTTGTAGAGCAGAGAGCTTAAACATTCTCTGAGCTTATATGTTTATTGACAAAAAAAAATACTCTCCCATATCTCCCCATAGAGGAGGTTTTCACACTAACAATGCATGTGTACATCTTAAAGTAAAAAATTCATAACAGAAAATTTATATGAGTATTAAGGTCAGTACGTATCATTATAGCTGCTTTCTTCTTCGATTCTCAGAGCCCATTTATAAATCTTCCTGTGCATTAACGTTGCATGCCATTGGGCACTACAGTCCTGACGTGCTGAAGAACCACGCTGTTCAGGCATTACCTCTGGCCTTTCTGGGGATGCATGAAGTTCCCGATGAGGAGAAAGGAGAGAACACAGACTCCAACCTCTGGTCAGAGGTCTGGCAGGACAATGTTCCTGGTATGGATTACTATTGATGTGGAAATCTTATTTGGTTATATCACTTCACTTAATTTAATAATGCCACTGAAGCATTATGGAACATCAGGCTGAAGCTCGTGCAGTAGAAATCCATAAACATCCAAGTTGATGTAACGTTATGGCAAAAGGTTTGATGTTGCAGTTTGGAGATCAAACAATGGTTCCCAAAGACATGAGAAGACTTCAGTGTGGATATTCGGGAAGTAATGTTCTTATTGGCACCTCTGTACTTCTTTGATATTATATTTAATTTGATTGCAGAGTTGACAAATAACACGTTCATCTCACAAATGCAATTTAAGCATTTCGTTGCGTTTTGGTTTAATTTTATATTCAGTTTAAGAAATATGAATGGGAAGTCAAATACTTTGGTTTACAATGGTCTGTGCATACAGTCCCCTCAATCCTTCAGGATTCCTGGCAGTTTTTATGACAGATATGCTACTGGTACAATGGAAGCAATGCACATTTTTGCCATTTTTAGTTTTTGGACCTAGAGTGTATAAGACAGAAATTTAGTAAAAAGGCAGGAGCTGCAGCTCTGACCTGTCCTGGCTTCACTGATCTGTTGCGCGCACCCCCTGCGCGTGAGGTAATGCGATATACCCCCCTGCTGAGGCTGCCACCTCTCTTCCAGGAAGCTTCGGCGGCATTCGGCTGTACATGACAGAGCTGATAGCCATCACCCAGAGAGCCCTGCAGTCCCAGTCCTGGAAGATGAAAGCGCAGGGGGCAGCGGCTATGGCCTCCATCGCCAAGCAGCAGACGGGCTCCCTGGTGGCGCCTTACCTGGGGATGGTGTTGGGCGCACTGCTGCAGGGGCTCGCAGGGAGGACCTGGACAGGAAAGGTGAGGGTGGGGCAGGAAGGGTGAGGATGGGTCTGGGAGAGTGAGGAGGTGGTCAGGGAGAGGGAGGGTGGGGCAGGAAGGGTGAGGATGGGTCTGGGAGAGTGAGGAGGTGGTCAGGGAGAGGGAGGGTGGGGCAGGAAGGGTGAGGGTGGGGCAGGGAGAGTGAGGAGGTGGTCAGGGAGAGGGAGGGTGGGGCAGGGAGAGTGAGGAGGTGGCCAAGGAGAGGTAGGATGGGGCAAGAAGGGTGAGGATGGGGTAGAGGGAGGGAGGATGGGGCAGGGAGAGTGAGGATGGGGTAGGAAGGATGAAAGTGTGGGCAGGAAGGGTGAGGATGGGGCAGGGAGGGTGTGTTTTAGATTAACTTACAGTACCTGCTGAATGACTAATGAAATAAGAAAGACCGGGTTGCCTTCTATTGTTCATAGCCTTTCATATGTATTTATTCTGCAGAAATAAAATGGCATTTTTACATGAATTACTTTCATTTTACATGAATTAATGGTGTTTGTCTTTTACAGGAGGAATTGCTGAAGGCAGTTGGATCTGTGGTGTCTGCATGCAGGTTAGCACAGGAACCTCACCCATTCTCACTGATGATAATATTAGGAATGTTTATATACATCTATACATTTGGCAGAAAATACCTGGTTTATTGTATAGAATCTTTTACGTAGATGTGTCTTGTGTTGAACTTTAATTACATTTGATGGTAATTGATTACATTTGATGGTGGTGGAGGGGTGTCCCCATTATCTATAAAGCGCTTTGAGTGGAGTTTCCAGAAAAGCGCAGTATACAGTAAGTGTAAGGAATTATTATTATTGTTATTATTTCCATTTTAATTACAATAAATGATGCTGGGTTTTTCAAACATGGATGTTTCTGAATACCATGGTATAAAAACATGGGGACACCATGTGTCAGCTGTTTAGAGAAAGCTTCATTTCTCTCTGCAGAATTACACCATTGTGTTGGCAGCAGTCTGTAGCCAGTTATCCAAGTAAACGTCCTTGTAATCCCTTCCTTCTGATATACCCCGACACCTTGCCCCCTGGGTGGCCAGTCAGCACAGCCTGTGCAGAATAGTGCAAACTAAAAACGAATCCCCTCGCACCAGCACTTGCTTGTGGTCTCATGAAGGACTTCTTCTCCGTTCAGTGGAGAGCTCCAAAAGCCCACGCCGGGCCAGCCCAGTATCCCGGAGGTCATCGAGCTGGTGCTGAAGGAGTGCCGCAAGGAGAACCTCCGCTACAAGATGGTGGCTCTTAAATGCACAGGAGACGTCCTGGCCGCCACCCAGGAGGACCGCTTCCAGGAGCTCGCCAATATTCTGATCCCGCTGGTCAAGAAGGTACAGTGGATCCTAGGATCTGAATTACTGTTCAAAACGATCCAACTTCTCGGCCAAGCATCGAGTGTGGCCTCAAGGTTCACTGTGGCAAGGTTCTGTCCAGCTTCCACGCAACAGGAGGTTTTTCAGTTGATTTCTGGACCGTTTAGAATTGTGGAATTTAAATTTTCTTGTGTTCTTTGCGTTTGGGAGGGCGTTTCTCTGGCCTGTGTCCCTTGAAGAGCCCTGAGTAATTAGAGACTAGTCGCAAAATCAGAAAATACACTAATTTTTCATTGCTTTCAACGTGGCCTTAGTCCTGGAAATGTAAAACTTACATCCACCGGTGAATTGAACAATGTGCTAAGTCAGAATAGGAGGGTCTGAGGATAAAAGATTAAATTTGTCATTTAAATAAATTCCCCATATGTAAGGGGGTTACTGTGGGGCTTAATCTAGGTCCGTTGTCTCAGAGCTTGTTACCGCATATATGACTTGCATACCTGCCATATACAGTATAACTTAAGTATAATTTCAAAACAATAAGATAATATACAGATTATGGCTTTGATTTTTCATGTTTGGTATTAGCTTTACCCTTATTTGTATAGTTCTTAGCAACTTTGAAAAAGACGTTTCATAGTCAGTTCAATCATTGTGACATTCTGAAAACGTTATCCACATTGCTGGCAATGTTATGCAATGTTATGCATGTTTATTTTGTCTTCTGAAGATTCATAAGATACCGCAATGGCATTCACACTTAAAAAAAATGCAGTTCAATTCCCTTTTAATAATAAGCTTTAACCACATCGTATGTGCAGTTGGTTACACTATACTTTTTGTTTTAATTACATTTTTAAATTTGGGTTTTAAATTTTAAGTATATTGATCCAATTAATGCTCACAACATAATATTTTATATGTGAGTTACAGTATTTTTTGTTGGGTTTTTTTACAGACGGATGGCAGCTACTTAGGTTATAGACTTCTTTGTGACTGTAGTCGTTACGTTCTGATAGCTTAGTGGTATCTCTATTGTAGTATAAAGCACAGTCTTCTTCACTGTTGACACTCTCATCATTCTTTAGAACTAAAAATAAAACACTTTAATGAGACAGAGGTCCTTGCGTCATCTGACATTTGGTGCGGTAATTGCAGAATTCGCCCAGCAGTGGACTGTCCCAGAAGGACATGGAGGAGGAAGAGGATGAGGCTGATGAGAAAGAGAAGGAGCTGCAGACCGAGGCATTGCTGTGTGCCTTTGAGACACTTGGCAAGGCCTGGCCTAAGAATCCAGCCACACAGGGTAAGGCAAAACACTCTAGATGTATTCAGTTGAACTGGAGAGAATAACACCATCTGAGCTATCTTAAAATCTACACTTCTTTACTTTTGTCCTTGCTCAAGTTGCAAAGCAATTGCACATCCATTATGTTTATTTACATGCTAAAACGTAATCTGAGAGAACCCCATAACTGTCTATGCTTCAGTTTGAATTCCCCTGTTCCTCACTGTTTTGTTTTCTACTGGTTTGCGCAACGCCCAGGGCTGTACCAGATAGAGCTGTGCCAGCTGATGTGTGAGAGACTGAAGCTCAGTACTTGGAGAGTACAGCTCGGAGTCCTCCAGTCCATGAATGCGTTTTTCCAGGGGTAAGATGTAACCTCTTTTAAAATGTTGACTGTGGCGGATCTTGTTGAAGAACAAGAGCATTGCATCGCGAGAGGCGGCTCCTTTGGAAAGCCACCAGCTCAAACAGGCTCAAAACCGGGGCTCGTGTTGTGGCCTGGAGCCGAGATAGCCACTGAATAACTGGGCTGAACGAGTGTTAAGCACACTGAGCGAATGAAATTCACTTTTGGGGGGAGAAGAGTTGTCTGGCTCTGTGTGGAATTAGCCATGCGGCTAACCCCTTGGTGACCAAGAGACTTACAAGAGAGCTTGCACGAGATTCAGCCTGCGTCAAGACGCTGGCAGGAAAGGAGCAGCAAGCAGGCTGCTCTAACGTCAGGTGCACTCATGTTGGTAACATCAGTGTTTATGGTGGAGGAGCATCCATGACCAAACACGGTCAGTCAGGAGGAGAGAATGAGGAGCCTGTAGATAGGAGATCTTGTCGCAGCTGGATCAGCTTGATTGGGCTGGCTGACGGTCCTGTAGGAGCCCTGCAAGATGCAAGGAACGTGAGGAAAATGTAGGAAATGTAAATCTAGTGAGGAGAACGAGATAAGGGTAGGGTCTATGAGATAGAGAGTTTTAGAATGTGTGAGTGATTCTCAGTGCCTGAACTATGGGAAAAGTAGAGAGAGAAGGGAAAAGGAAAGACTTGAGGAAAGAAGGAGAGTACTTTCAGTCTTCTCAGAAGGGGAGTAACAGAGCTAGATCCCGAATAGGGTCTAAACACAAAAATGTAGTCACCACTAACATGTGTCTAGAGTGCCTCTGCAATAGACTGAGGGCTAGCAGTGTCAGAAATGTGCCTTTTTAAGGGAGCGCTCAGGGTTTGCAGTATCAGAGTGCATGAGTTCTGTTTTGTAGTGTGATTAATGATAGAAAGGAGTATATACTGCAGTACAGTGCTGCTTTCTATGTGAAATACAGTTGTCCCATAATGTTATTCTGTCAGCAGCCACGGAAATTATACAGAACATTAACTATACAGCCTAATACTGTTTTTTCCTTCAAGGTTGTTACTTTTGACAAAGGATCATCAAGATTCCACTGTGTTGTCAGAAATCCTGACAGAGACTTGCACGGCAATCACATTTCCATTAGGTAAACCTCTTTCTTGTTTGTGCCGTGAAATGTACAGTGTTAAGATAGAACCTGGTGTCTTAAATATTCCTTTAATTTCTCTCCATCCAAATCTTCTTCCTAGTTTAACTGAGGCGTGAAACAATTGAGATTTTTGCCATTCTAAAGGTTATATACGTTTATTTAGCTGTGTATAAGGGAATGAACTATAAAATTGGCAAGTGCAAATTGGCCAGACATAACTTCTGACTTTATTTTTTTAACAAGCAGTACTGTGCTTCTACGCTTACAATCTGTGCACGAGTTTATGTCTATTAACACCACGTACCACAAACGTGCATAAAGTACTTTCTTGCCATATATCAACATCCATTTATGCTCCAGATATTTAATATGCTGTGTGCTATATAAATATAGTAAAGAAATACTCCATGCTGTCTATTAGGAAATGCTATTGTGTTTTTATTAGAAAACAAGAGCTATTCCTCTGTGAGGACAGAAGCTTTAGCCATTGTGGAACTACTGATAAAGAAGCTGAATGGTGAGTATATTACCTTGGCCAAAAAAGTTAACCACAGTTTTTCAAATTAATTTTTAGTTGTAACCATGACACGAACAACTGTGACCTTTTCTTTCGAAGTTCACATGCAGTTAATAGAGCAAAAACAGAAATCGGTACCATGTACAGCCAGCTTTTGTTCATGAATGATGGTAGATCTAAAATGTGGAGGTCTGAATTGGTGTGGAACACCAGTATTCACCAGTATATGGCCAGCAGCCATATCACCCTGCAACTCACAACTGGCAACCCACTGAAGCTAAGCGGGTGTGAGCCTGGTTAGTACCTGGATGGGAGACCTCCTGGGAAAAACTAAGATTGCTGCTGGAAGAGGTGTTAGTGAGGTCCACGTGGGTCCTAATGCCCCAGTATAGTGACGGGGACACTATAATGTAAACATGCGCCGTCCTTCGGATGAGACATAAAATCGAGGTCCTGACTCTCTGTGGTCATTAAAAGTCCCAGGGCGTTTCTCGAAAAAAGTAGGCATTCTGGCCAAATTTCCCATTGGCCCTTACCAATCATGGCATCCTGATAATCCTCCTCTATGAATTGGCTACATTACTCTGCACTCCTCCCCACTGATAGCTGATGTGTGGTGAGCGTTCTGGTGCACTATGGCTGTCGTCGCATCATCCAGGTGGGGCTGCACATTGGTGGTGGTGGAGGGGAGTCCCCATTACCTGTAAAGCACTTTGAGTGGAGTGTCCAGAAAAGCGATATATAAGTGTAAGCAATTATTATTAATTATTATTCGTAGTAATAACTTCTCAATGCGGAGCGACAATTTTAATATTAAGTACGGGTAGGGCTTTGCTACAAGATCTCAGCCAAACAAATACGTCTCCTATTTCCTAGCAGATTGATCTGTTTAGGGTTCTGTGAACTGCGTGCAAATCAATGCCAGATGCTGAACATTTCAAGTATTTTATACTTATTTGAAATTTTCAAATGCCTATGTGGGTGTTTCATGATGAAGGAAATCCTAAATCTAGATCAGCCTGCAGTGAGATGCATGTTTCCCTGACCTCGAGAAGAGAATTCACAGCTGTGAGGACTGAGAAATTTCAATGACCTGCATTTCAGAGAACGACCAGTGGGGAAACTTGACCGCCAAGAGCAGAGACCAGCTCGTGAACTCGCTCACAACTATGGAGTCGGACAGCAGGCCAGAGCTGAAGGAGAAGTCGGCAGAGCTCAGAAAAGAAATAAAGAGCCACTGCTGAACCACAGTCCTGACCGTCTCCCTTTCAATCTGGAGTTCCTCTCGACATGCAGATTTGCTCTTATTCCTCAGCACATGGCTCAGAAGACTCCATTGCTACGTGCCTGATTTGTGTCGGGTTTTCCTCAGCTAAAATTGCAGGCGCAGAAGTTTTGCTATTAATATTTGATGTACCCACGTATGTAAAAAAAGTTCAATGCTGTGAGTAAAAAAATAAATAAAATTAATGGCTTATAACAAGAGACTATTTTCTAGAAATTCCAAGATCTTGGATAATTTAAAACCAAACAGCTGTTTGTAACACCTAAGAGATGATAGCTGTCTTGGAGAATTGAGACATGAAGTGCACTATGGGTGTCCAGTACAGACAGCCATGTCAATTTCAGTACAGATTACATTCAGTGTGGTCCAGTGTAAGTACAGCTACCCTGTCATATGCACAGTATTTAGTTTACTGTGGGCCCAACTGTAACTGAATGTATCTATACTGATCAAATTGTCATTTTTAATCAATGAACAAATTGAATTGTGGATCGAATTGCCATATTTAATAGTTATTGCACTGTGTTCATTTTAAACACTGTATTGTGCCCATTGATGGGCATGTGTTGCTGCTGCAGTTTGCCACTTTTAACTGCTTTCTCGTAGGGGAGAGTGCTGGGAAAGGCCAGCAGTTCGGTTAATGATCTGTTCAGGAAAGACGTTAGTGCATTGTCTCTTGGAAAAAATGCTCCTTCACTTTGCATGTTTTAAAGGTGTGTGGTAAAAATGAATTTTCCAAAATAAAAACAAAGTAACCATACCAAAGTTGGTAAATAGAAGAGGCATGCACTACCTTTTTGAATTTCCCTCTTGTGAATTTGTCCTTAAATCAGATGTATGAATAAAATTGCTTTATTGTGAGGTTGGAACTTTTCTCTTCAAAGTATTTGCTGTTTCCTTTCCAAGCAGATAACGGGCAGGCTGTGCAGTGTAAAACAATCCAAAAAGTAGATCCCTTCCCTTTATATAGTTCCGAATGTAAAAGTCTGTTGAAAATGAATGATCTTGGTATTTGAAGGGCAGAACGTTAATGTGACAGAAACATTTGAGAACAGAGCACATATCCAGTGCAGGTTATTTAAAAAAGTATCCATTAGAAAATCTGTTCTGCCATAGAGCATCGTGCTCGTATTTGATTCTTGACTGCAGACCAAGTGCGTGCGCAAATCTTCATGTTTTACTGCAGTCTAAAAGCAATCACACATGGGGATCAGATATGACAGTCTGGGAAGATTGGATGATGCTGCTTCTGCCTTCAAGGATGTGGCCTTCTCCCCACTGAGCTGGTTTACCACTTCCATCTTGATTACTCTGCCAGTCGTTTTTAACCCGAACAGAAGCTCATTCATTAGAAGCGGCCGTAGTGATTAGGATGATAAAATATTAATTAGATCTGTTTCAAAGCCTAGGTGGGGATGTTCTTTTGTGCCCTTGAGCTACATGCTCCACACAGGTTGTAGCAGTATAATCCGATATACAAATGCAGAAGAAAGTCACTTTGCGTAAGTGTCAACCAAATAAAGTTTTCTTCCTTCAACCATGCTGACTGGAACCAGGAAATCTTAATTTCTCAAGCTGGACATGGTTGACTCGTGTTGTTCTTGCATTAATGAGAAATGTCACTACAGATTCTGAATTCATTTAGACAGTTTTATCAGCTCTTACACCAAGAGCTGAACTCCCAGCATTTTTCTACAATCCCGTTTGTTCCATCCGTGAGCTACTCCCAAACCACATATGGCTGCATGTTCATTGTGCATCAAAAAAAACATTTATTACTTCCCTTAATAGCAGGTTGAAAATCATGGTCAAACCATTATCATGCATCGTATTACTCTAGTTCCAACGTGGTGAAAATGCACACTGGACAACTTCACACGGGAAATGCAGGGAGCACGATTCCAAAGAAATAATATTTTGACTATGTGCATACAAGCTAGCATTCCATAAAATGTTTTAATACAGTGATAACCAAGTGTAAAAAAAAACTTATTTTCACAATAAAATTATTAAAACTTTTATTAGCACATAAAAATACGTGAAAGAAAACAGCTGACAGAACACACAAGCAGAAAAAACATATTGCTCCAGAAATCAAAAATGGGAAATTGGGGGAGTTATTTATACACACACCCTTTACATTGACAGCTCAGAAACCAAGGTGACAAAGGTCATGTTCCATCTACACCAAGAAGGCCCTGTGTCAGTGCAGATCCCCACAGTACCCCCTTATACACAAAGCCATGTACTTGTGCTTCAGGTTCGTTACTATTACTCTTCTTCACTAGCTCAAATTTGTGTTAACTGAAGTTATGGGTCAGGTAAGACACAATTAACAAAGGCTCCACCTCAGAGCATAGGTTCAACTCTGTGATCCAGTCCACCTGCAGATTTGCAGACATCAGCAAGAGACATGGTATTCCTCCAATCAGCACTCACTCTCCTATCAAGTACGGTGGAGCGGTCCACATAGGTATATAATGATAAAAGTGGTGTCTCCAAATTAAAAAAATAATAATTTTGCACTCACCCAGTCTCGATACTGGAATGACTTAACTGAACTTCAAGACATCTCTCAGACTATGATTAAGGGGGTTGTGCTAACCATCTTAAAACACACAGACATATTGACAATTAGAAAACACTGCATTCACTCTATACATGTGGTTTATGCATCTAAAGTCCTTAAAATCCACAAATTAAAAAAATATATGGGAAGGAAGGTGCCATTAAATGAAGAGCAAACTTCAGAAAACATTTGACAAAGACACAGGTGTACTTCTGTAAAATAAGATGAAAATAATCTTTCAGCACGGGCAGGTGCCCAAGATACAGTTCAGTTTTCAATCAGTGTTCTTTGCCTTTTGTCCTTTGATTTTGCCTTGTCCACTCTGTTGTGGCCAGCAACACTTGCACTGTGTTGGCTGTTGGTGAACCTGGCCACGGTCGAAATTCCATCCACAAACTTGGTCTTGAACAGGACATTTGCGTTGGTGAACATGCCATCCTTCAGGGAAACCACAATAAACTGAAAAAGAAAAAGAACAAAAAGCCACTAAGTTATAACGTTTAAGAAAAGCAAAGAAAATACAAAGATAATCTGCAAGGAAGATTCACAGGGAGAAGAGCCAAAAAGAGGAGCCAAGAGAAAAAACAAAAGATCAAAAGGTCCAGGAAATGAAATGCTCTAAATGCCAATATGGGGAAAAAAGCCAGAAGAAATAGAAGCTACTGCATTAGCAGTCACTTGCAATGCAACAGAAATCACTGAAACACTGGCAACAAAGAAAGTAGTTAAAGTGTAGCACTATAACATGCATTAGGCACAGGAACATGGGTCTGAAAACATATTGTACAGTATATGGGTGACTTGACAATACAAAAACCATTCAAAATAAAAGTGGTAGTACACTATAGACCACCAAATATAACATTGTAAATGAAATCAGGGATTAGACTACAAAAAAAACAATAAGCATGCCAGTCCACAAATTGAAATGCTTTTCATTGTTCACGGGTGCTTCTATAATCAATTTCTCAGAACACCTGCATGAGGGAATGTGTCTCTATTGATGTGATCTCAAAGAATCAAGACTGAGCGAAAGAGTTGAGGAAACTGATCTCAGCACATGGTTTGCTTTGAAGTATGTTTTGAAACTAAACTTTTTAAACCGTACAGTTTCAGGAAGGCAGATGATAAAGGAAAATTCTCTGTGAAGAGGACAGGAGAACCTTGACAAACCTGTGAATGAGTGAAGTGAGTGCGCAGCATCTGTCCGATGTTCTGAGTGTGGGAGAGGTCCAAGGCCGCGTCCACCTCATCTAAGATGTATATGGGTGCTGGTTTGAACAGGAGCATGGCCAAAATCAGCGACAAGGCCACCAGAGACCTGCAAAACACCAGCAGCCAAATATCATCACTACATCCACAGGGAATTTCCACTGTGCATTACTATAAATCATCTCAATAACCTTTCTGAAATACTTCCTCTATCCCTAGTGAACTTTTGGCCCCAAACTGCAAATTAGTTTTAAAGCCTATTTATGTTTGAAGTGTTATCAACAACACCCACAACAAACAAGAAAATAGGGAGTTCAGCGTCTCAGTTCTCTGTAGCACAGAGCACGGCAGTTTTCATATCTTGAAGGAGTTCAGTAGGTTGTGTCTTACGAGACTTTTCGGGGAAATGACCAAAAATGTCACCTTTGCCCCCCACTCAGCTCCGTCAGATGCTCCTTCCACGTGCTTCCAAGGGCGACTTTAAACTCCAGGCCGTCAAGAACGCCACAGCCCTCCGGAGGAGCTAACTTGGCGTCCGCCCCTGGGAGCAGGGTGGAGAAAATCGAGCCGAAGTCTTTGTTGACCTAGAACAAAACGCAAAAGAAAAACACTTGACTCCTAACTCTCTCCTACTGTAAAGCAGCAAAACAAACAACAACACTGGATCCATCAGCAACTGTTTACCACACTGACCATGAAACATCATCAGCTCCTAAACTTCAAGTCTAATCTTCACATTTCCCTTTTAGAAATCTGCAGATCGTGGGGGGATGTCATGTTTTACCAGCCCTTTTCACTTTATTCTTCCTGCTGTGATGTACAAGTGTTAAGAGCCAGTCTAGCGTGCGCATGCTGTGAACTGCGAACCTCCAGTTCTCTCACAAATAACCCGCTGTTTTCAGAAATGTCCGCTTTAGGAGGTCCTAACTTGGTTATGGTTTCAACAGAAATACTGCTCTCATATGAGACACTATTGCTTGCTTCAGACTTCATCTGTCTAGTAGAGAATGTTTTTGACAGCTTTAATCATATGCAGAGGTTTTATTTCTATTTGCTCTGAATGTTTTAATTCACTCAGTTATAATTCCTCTTACCTACATTAGTTAGAGTCTCAATATCTACACACCACAAAGTAATCTAAGCAACAATTCCCTTTTAGAAGCAAAATCAGATGTTCATTTACTGTTCATAAAATAACGAAAAAAAGCTCCACAAGTGTGTCGCTCCCGTGCAATTAAATGCTCTAGCGTTACTGTTGCCAAACTAGCCTGCTCATGAATGTTTTGCTCACTTGGTTTTTCTGACCCAATCTTAATCACATACAAAACAAAATGAACCAAAACCCGACATTTTCAGAACATTTCTATCCTATGTATCAATATGATACATCGTAATTCTCTGAATTCTACTTTTCATGTAAAACCATTTTAGTTTCTGTTGTTTAGAAGAAACCTACCTTTTGCCATGCAACATTCAGAGCTTCATTCTTTTTCTGGTCCAGCTCTACTATAGTCTGAAGAATTTTGGATTTGTCATTTTCAACAATTCTTTTCTTCCTCATCAACTCATTGTACTATCACAGAGAAACAGAAAGATGTAAATGTCACAAATCAACAACGGCAAAACTCCCCCTCTCAAACATCGTCGACCGACTAGTGCATGATTCAATACAAAAAGATTTCAAATATTAAAAAAGTATCTTCATCTACAGTGAGGTTTCTAATTATTCTACAATTTTACTTTTAATAAAAATAATGCCCCTAGCAGTGAAAAACAAACACTCAGTCAGAGCTTCAATTCTGTGAAACAACAGTACTCGGTCATGCATTTAGGACTCAAAACCATACTGTTTTGGTATGTCATCATAGGGTTAGGGTTGTTAAATTATAGAACACAAATGCATCAAATCATTTGGAACTGTGGCTATAGTCAGATCACCATGCAATGAAAACATACTGTATGAATACCATAAGCTGCCAATTACCTTCTCCTCCACCTGACTAAGCATATTCATTGCCCTCATATTAACATTTCTCTCCAGCTTGTCCTTCGTGTCTTGGAGTTTCTTAAGTCGCTGGCCAGCCTCCTTGGGGTTGTTTGCTTTGAAATCGTAGGTGGTGTTGGGCTGCCCAAAGAAGTGCTTCTCCGCTGAGATCCACTCATTCTCAGCTAGCATTCTTGCTACCTGTGGGGGCCCAAACAAAATGAGTTTTACAGCACTGAGCACCGTCACACTCATATCAATGACGGCATAAACCATTAAACATTTCCGAACAAACCAATTCGGCAAAACATGCTGTGCATGCGTTTCTTACAGCCTTCAGTGAAAGTCCCAAACATCTGAAAATAACAGTCGTATTTGGACATGTAATATGCTGATCGTTATCCTAAAACAAAACTTAACTCAATTATGCGTTGAGGAAAAAAAGGGAACACGAATGTGAAACTTGACCGTATGAATCTGCAGCAGCTATAGTGAAACAAAGATCACATTCATTCAATCTGTGCTTGAAAAAAAATCCCTCATTAGCACAATGGCTTCTGTGGTCTAGAAACACTCACTCATGTTCACAGACAGGTGAGCACCGGCCAGACCTACCCTCTCTGCAGCTTCAGCACTGTCCGTCTTGTGCTTGCTGATGCTATGCTCCAGCTCCTTGAGCTTAAGCTGAGCGTCGTTGTTCTCTTCTCCCAGTTTGGACACCACGTCGGACTTGCCTTTAATTTCCTTGTCTTGAACCGAAATGATCTCCTTCTGCTTGGCGACATCTTCCTGGGCCTTCTTCACTGCTTGCTAGAAACAAAAGAGCTTGCTGATCATGAGGGGTCCAATAATAACACTGCTGACAGTATAATTAAGATGGCTGCATGACAGCACTGAAACGCAATATTTTATTTTAATCCTCTGTTCCTATTTGACAATTTAATATTTATCTATACTGTATGCTGTTATTACACGTTAAATTTTACTTGCAATACTTAGAGGGGGAGAATACTTTGAGGGCAAACTTAAAGGAGGAAGAACTAATGCAGAAGAAATCGAATATTCTACTTACGCAAGAATTGCTGTACCAGAATATAACTAATAATGTGGCTTTGCTTGCCATTTAACTAAATAACTTTGTTTCACTAACTGATGACTGTAAGACTTGTTTTATCTATGCTCCTCTTGAGGCACTCACAAACCTGTATGGAAATAATATCCTAGGAAAGAATCAATATGGATTTAGAAAATTCAGGTCTTATACAACATTTTAGAGTTCTCCTAACCAGACAAAAAAAACATACGATAGGATGCATTTTGACTTTTCAGAAGGTTTCATAGAGTTCCTCGTACATGAGTGACTCCCAAATTGCAGGAGGTATGTATTCAGGAATACAAGAGTTTGGAATGAAAGCGGACCTTGTTACTGGCCACGTCAGAAGCCATGCTGTCGACCTGCTCCTGAATGGCCTTTATCGCCTCGTCCACAGCTTCGATTTGCTGCTGATAGCCAGCCTGCTCCCTCTTCAGCTCTTCCAGCTCCAGAACCAAAGCATCAGCTTCCTGAGAGGGAAAGATAACAGGGCTTGTACTCACACCAACACTGGTGAGGCGATTCATACATTTTGCAGATCAATTCCTTCCAATGACTACCTATATGATGCAAGCAAAATGTGGAAGATGAAAATGGCATTATGCAGGCTTCACGGGCAATGTTACCCTGTACAGGAGGTTCAGCACCTAGTGGAGGAGAGGCAATACCCTCACTGGTACCCATTACTGTGAGCACTCAGGAGCCAGCAGGAGTCTGCTGCTGAGAACATCCTGGCCAACTAATCCCGCCCTGCCCTGGCACAACTGGCTGAGCGCCAGTCATCTAGTGACACAACCCAGGCTCGAACCCAGGATCGACGACGGTTTTCTTTTTAGAAATTATTGTTCATTTTCTTTCTAAAGAGAGATGGCCAAACAGTCTATTTATTAATAGCTATTTCTAGCTGAGAAGACGGTTATTATAGGTTTTTATTATAAAAACACAGAAGGTGAGTAATTACGAATCACTGGTTGATGGGAATTTTTTGGAAGAAAATGGGTATTTATATGGATACAGTATATATATATTTTTACACACACACACCTCAAAACACGTTCTGTCATGATCCTAAAAACATTCCATAGTGCTGTAGTACTTTGATATACAAGAAAAAAATACACCTCGCCAGATAGTGTTAGGAACGTGCATTGCAGACTGTCATCTAACTTCCCAATTAGCCTCTTAGTTTGTACTCGTCAAATGTTTGCTTACTGTGTATTTAACAAGAATAGTTGCAGCCTTGAACAGGAAAGCTTAAAACAAGCTAATTGCAAAAAATGCTGAGTCTGGCATCACCTGTTGCTTTTCTTTCAGCTTCTTGCTGAAGGCATCAGCTTTGTTCTTGGCCACATTGAGTTTCTGCTGTGCCTCCTTGAGTTCCTTCTCCCGCTCTGCCTCTGCGTTTTTCATCTTGTTTTCCAAAACTTTGTACTTCTCCTCCGCATTCTTGTGGATCTCCTTTGTCTTTCTGAGGGTCTCTTCACTCTCCTCTGAAACAACAAACCACCAAAGATTAAAAACCCCATTAAAAACAAAGGTCATATTTAAATAGAAACTGGTACATACATTAAAAATTGCATGCATTTGTCATAAATAAGGCTATTTTACTGATCTGCTCACAAAATAATTATATAACGTTCATAGTTAACTATATGAATTCCTCACGATGACAATTTACCAATAATCTTTCTAAGTGCTTCCAGCTCCTCCTGCTGCTTGTGGTGGCTGCTCTGCTGAAGTTTAGTCTGCAAAATTTCTAACTCCTCACACTTCATATCCAGTTGTTGTCGGAGCTGTCGGTACCTGAAACAGTCAATATAACCCAAGTTTTGTTACAAACCCTTGATACCATGAATGATTCTGCGAATGACAATGTAAATACATGCAGAATATCAGCACAAACCTCAATACTCTTCCTGATATTCTTCCTCATGGTTATTGATCTTTATTTCTGCATTTTTTAAAACCTTTTAAATATGTGCAGATTTGATGTTAAGCAATTTTAATGTATACAATATCCGTTCTTAATACAATCTAAAAGTATATTTGAGAAAAGGTGAAGAACTCATGTGGTATAATCCTTTCTAACCCAGTCTGTATTAAAACATTTGAACCATTTTTTTATGCATAACTAGATGTCAATTGTGGAAGTGAAATAAGATTCAAGTCAGTTATTACGGTTGTCTGACAGTGATCCACTCTTGAGCTATATATACGCAAAGTTAAATATTAAACTGAAAGCAACGACAGACATCAAAAACATTAGCAAGCCCTTTGCAGAGACTTACTTTTCAGCAGTGCCTTTCAGGCTGCTCAGCTCTTTCTCAACAGCCTGCAGTTCTGCTTCTTTTGCCACGAGCCCATCTTGAACGTCTTTCAGCTCCTGCAGGTTGGACAGCACTGAAGCCATTTGAGCTCGGGCTCCTAGGACACCAAGAGAGCGGCTTCAGAGTCCCGCAGGCAGCATGGTGCACATTGCACCTTCAGCACTGCCGGCTGTTCACAAGCCTTCGCACGGGACGCAAAGTGGAAAAATCTACCTTCCAAACCGCGTACAAACTATATTTCAGCACAGCAAATGAAACATTCCTTTAAGATGGACATCAACTGTTCTAACATTTCTACCAGGAAGAACAGATATGAACTCCTGGAAAAAGTAATTATACAATATTCGGCTACATCGTAAACGGTTATGCTGAGCACACTGACCAAATGGTCAGGGAGACCAATCTTTCACATTTGAAAATCCCTGCTTTGATGGATTTTTAAAGGAAATGTTACACTAAATTATTCATGTTTGTTTCCGTCTCTAGTGATGAAAGTTTTGCAGATTAGGGTGACAAAGTTATTAATTAAAGTAATGTATAAAGTGGTGAATATGTTGCATTGCATTGAATGACAAATGAAATGTTAATCCTTTTGAAATGTTAATCCTTTGAATTCTAAAAATCTACTGCAATGATCAGGGCATGACAATGTCTTCAAAACAGGAAACGCATGCCTCATCCTTAAAGAACTTTTACCTCCACTCAGAGTTCCCTGGGGATCAAAGACGTCCCCACCAAGAGTGACCGTTTTTGTCATGACTCTTTTATCAAAAGTCACTTTCTTGGCATTGTCCAGACAATCACAAACCAGTGTTGTTCCGAAGACGTATTCCATCGCTTTCTGAAGCTCCGATTCATACCCCACCAGGGATAGAGCAGTGTGAACATTGTCATTTCCAACCTGAAACAAATCCATCAGAGACACTAGCAGCAAAAGTTTTATTTCAGATTTAAGTCCATTTTACAATCAGAAGCTTGCATTAGTGGTTCAGAGGATAAAGTCCAGCTCAGGTATCACTTTTAAGATCAGCTTCAAATCTGGAACCTGGAATAATTCTTTAATATCATTAGTCTTTTATTTCTCCTAAGACTCACAGATTCTTAGAAAAGTGATTTCTGGTAACCTGTGTAGATATTCATGCATTGTAAGTGTCCCAGTGGCTGACCAGGGCTTCACTTGAAATTGAAGCAAATGTTGTATGGTAGCACAAAACGTCAAAGCTCTGTGACAAAAAACAATATCCGAGTTCTGTCTACAGCTGATCAGTGTGCCATCAGTCACCTGCTGTTTTATTTAGCTCAAAGCTGCACCTATATAGAACCTAGGGCTCCAATGCTGGAAGGCAGCAATGTTAACCACTGAAGTTTATGTAAAGAATAAAAAGTTCACTTTGTTTCTACTTTACCAAATATCACAGACCATTATTACTAAATGATTTAATGAAAGATGCAAGCTGAACCTTAATGAATGCTTATTATTTAATGAAACGCTGAATTAGTTTTATTTTATGCTTGGTTTAAGATACAGTAGAACCACTTGGAATACTTACCAAGCTCTTGGCCATCTTTACAACACCATCATTCAGACACTTGGCTGAGATCTTATTCAACGGGATGATGGTGTACCTTCGCCTGAGTTCACCTTTCTCCAGTAACTTTTTGCCAGTCACCTGCAACGTTCGTTTTAGATTGAGCAAAATGTAGCACATGATAAATAAGCATACTGCAGTTTGAAACCAAGGTGCATTCTCAAATATTCCCTGCGCTACTCAAATATTCCCATGAAACAAATCACAAGGTGAAAACAAACAGGGTCAAAAGTTGAGAGATCGTTCATCATGGTTTGCTGGATTAAATGATGAAACGATTCGGATTCATGTACCTTGGAAACACAGGAAGTGGTCTCCACTTTCCTGGCCATGTGCCTGTTTGCCATTGATTAATTATACTGTATTTGTGTAGGAGCTCTTGTGCCTAAAGATCTATGTGTTTCCACTGTCTATTGTCTATTTTATTCTTCTTTCACTAAACTGCTGATCACAAAAAAAAATAGGAGCAATGCAGTTTCTCAGTTTTTGTACCAAGACCTTGATTAATTTTGATATGGTATTCATAAAAAAAGCTGTGTGGAGGTATATTCATAATGTATCTAGACAATTATAGTGCTCACCTCAGTATCCACAACCACGTTATAAAGGCGCCCCCCAGCAACAACCTCCAGTGCTGTGGCATTCGAGGGATGTCTGACTGTGATCAGATTGGCAACAAGCCCTTTCACTCGGTTACTGTCCCAGTTCTTCTCAGGATTTCTGTAACGGGAAGAAACCACAAAGCATCTACAACTGTGCCAAGAGCGATTACTGATGAAAACCAAAGTTGTCTGACATTTAAACTGCCTAAGGCTGACCTCAACTAAAGGTTTTGATGAAGACAGACCCAAATCCAGCAATGAAGATAAGAAGTAGAGGAAAACGTCTCACTCAGAATGTGGCGGGTTCCCAAGGAATGGCCAGGCCCACACAAAAGGAACTCATCGTATCTTCCAAACGCTGCGCAGCCAGGATGTTATATTTGGGATGGCGGAAACAAAACAACTCACGTGTATTCAAATCTTAGATTGGGAAACTTGGCCATCAGTGATTCATAGGTCTCCCTCAGCTGATTAACCTCGCGAGACAGCTGCCTCTTCTTTTCTATCACTTTCTCCTCCTTTCCATCTAAAAAAAAAAAAAGACAACAGCCATTTCACCAAATGACCAACGATTTAATAAAAGCATTATCAAACTCGGAAAGTGTCAGTCCAAACCCCACCCCTCCCACCCATTTTTCCCCAACCTTCATAGTTCAGCTTCTTCAACTCAGCTTCCAGTTTTTCTTTGTTTTTCTTCACAGCCTCAAAAGCATCCTGGTCCTTTTTATATCCGCTATCCATCTTTTTAGCTTCTGCTTGTTTAGTCTTCAGCTCTTGCTGGGCATGTTTAAGCTTCATCTGTGCCTTTAGTCAACAAAAATAAGAACGCCATAAAAACACAGTGTCAGATGGACAAAAACCTTCTACGTTCACATAAAACAATGGTTGTTTATCTTCACACCTGGAAAGCATTCCGTTGATTTGATACTAAATTACAATATGTTCACATGTATTACTGCTAGATAGTGTCTTAGCATACAACGTCACAACTGAAATATGAAGAAATGGGCAGCAATAATAAATGGGGAGTTGCCTGCTTTAGCCTATGCGTTCAACTTACCGGACACTCCTGATCCAACCCCCCAGCCCCCGGAGCGATGACAGTGGTACCTGTTTGGCCTCGGTGTCGGCTTTGCTCATGTCGTTTTTGCAGGTCATCATCTGCCCCGCCAGCGTGGCCGCCGCCCCGTCCTCGCTGCCGGACAGGCCGGCGGACACGGCGTTGAAGTGCTGCTGGGCGGCGGCGAGGGCCTCCGCGTCCTTCCGGCCCTCCTCCTGGATGGCACGGAGCTTCTCGGTGATCTTCCTCGCCTCGCTCTCCTTTGCCGCCAAGACCTTTTGATCCTGAGGGTGAGGAAAGCTGGGAACAGTTAGGTCCTGCCAATTTATTATTTTTTTTTATGTGCTTAAGGGACAGAAAGTAACAACGGACTTGGTTCGAGACCTCTGGATTCTAACTCACAGGGAGATTTTCTTCCCTGTGGTCAAAGTGAAACGTAATCTGAGTTTCGATTGAGGACTAGTCGAAAAACAGACCACTGATATTATAACTGGCCTAATGAGTGCGTTATCAATTTCTGAAAACCGCAGAAAATCTTGATGGTAAACTATTTCAAATGTAAAAGGTCTCCACATACTGCAGAAGAGACAGATATCACTGAGGAATACTGGCAATCATCTACATGGTTGAGTGATCATGTCATTCTTTAAAGTAGACTTTGAAATTAATTCAGACATTGATAGAAAATACCACATGACTGAGAGGGTGTTTGTACCTACAGCCGATTAAGTTGGGAACACTCTACAAATAGAACTATTCATTTTGAACCACGAACCTCAAATCAAAAGTTGATAGTTACTAATCGAGAGGAAAATGCTTTATTTTAAAAGCAAAAATCATAAATGTATTCCAATTCAACCCAAAAATACGGAACTGTGATTTTCATTTAGTGTGCCAAACTCATTTTTTTCTGAATGACAGGCTACAAAAGCAAAGTCCTGGGGCCTTTTTTTACAAAAGCTTATAGTACCCAGTGACATTCCCACTTAAGTTTTCTTGAGTAAGGTACATGGGTTTTTTAATAAACGAGTGGTTCAGGTTGAGACTTAATATTGACAAAAAAATGTATCCTTGAAAAGCAGACTCATACCATGCAGTGCCGGTTTACAGACTGCACACGACAGTTTCAAAAGAACAGCTTTCGGCTCAAAGGAATCAGATTTCCACGCTTGACCGCGTGTCCTGTTTTTTGTGCTTTACCTCTTCCATGCTTTTCACCAGTTCTTTGCGTCTCTTCTCCTCCCCCTTAAGGTTCTGTTTCTTCAGATCCAAAGCACTCTGGGTTTTGGCATCCACTCTCTGAACCTCAGACAGGGCGTCCTGCAGGGACTTCAGCACGCCACCCACGTCCTAGACGCAGCACCATTCACAGGAAAGGAACGCTTTCAGAAACTGACCGAGACGTCAAAGTGCACATGTATCCAATGAGACTCATATTTGTGCGAAACGATATAACGTCCATTCATCCATTTTCTAACAGCTTCATCCAATACGAGGTCGCCACGGTCTATACCGGCAAGCCACCGGCGCAAGGCAGGATGTGGATGGGAGCTCAGTCCATTGTGGGGCACAGACAGACACAGACACAGACTCACGCCAGGGCCAATTTCCACAGACACCAGTTAACCTACCAGTATGTCTTTGGACAGTGGGAGGAAACCGGAGCATCTGGAAGAAACCCACATAAATGCAGGGAGAACAACCTCCAAGCAGATAGCACCCCAGGTCTGGAATTGAGTCCAGGGCCTCAGCACTGCGAGGCACCGAAGCTAACCACAGTGCTGCCCACACTTCAGCTCCTACTGTATATACAATATTTCAGTTCTGAGCAATTTTTAACTTATTTCCTGCAAAGCACCGCATAAAATATTTTCCTATCAGGAAGGACTTATAAAAGAAAACATTGGCCCACACAACCTGAGTTTCCATAAGGATTTTGCTCTCCTAAAAGCCATGAGTCTCTCTTTATACTCCAAAACGAACAATCAAAAAGCGAAGAGTGAGGTACAGCACCTGGTCTCTCTTGTCCTCCAGCCGAGCAATTTCCTGAGAGAGCTCCTTCACTTTCTTCTCATTGTCTGCCATCTTCTCCCGCAGCTTGACTGTGCCATCCTCCAGCACCTTCAGCTCTGCAGCCGACTTTGCTTTGGTTTCCTCGGCGCACACAAATTGATAGGCCACATACAGGCGAGTAAGATGCTCCATTTCCTTCAACACCTTCTGATACTCAAAGTACGATGATCGTTCCTACGAAACAAAGGCTTAGAAGTGGGTCTCAGGCCATGTACCTCTTAACTTGTCTTTTTCAAAACAGCCACTTTTTTTCCTGTTGTGAAAACATATACAAATGGGCATAATGATTCATCAATGATTCCAAACTTCTTTCACTGTTGTCTGCTGTTGTCATTTTTAAAAGATCCACGTTTTAAGAAATACCTAGAAAAATAAACAAACCACCAGGAGTGCTACAGATTACAACCTACCAATGGGAAAAACACAATTCTGGACCACCCCATAACCTGGTAGGACTTACCTCCTTCAGCTTCTCTAGAGTTGGTGTGATCTCTTCTCTTAACACCTGTCGAAAAACACAAATATGTGGTTATTACTGTTACCATTCAGCCAGAATGAAATGAAGCTCTGCACACTGACAATGATACCGTACCGTCTGGATCTCTTTTAGCTTGCCCTCCTTCTTTTCAATAGTTTTCTGCGCACCCATCTTTTTGATCTCATACATCCTGGTGCCTGCTGCTTCTTCAATCATTGCCAGGATCTAAATAAAGAATACTCATCAATCCCAAAGACTAGGGGTACTACAGTACTACATCACACCATATTCCATGTTTTCAATGTTCATTTATAGCCACAATCTCTATTTATAATCTAATTGGCAATCGATGTCTTTACTTCACCCCCAGTTTAGTTTAGCAAAACCAGTTTTGTGCCCTCTGGGTATATACTTTTGATATCATTAAACTACAACTTCCTGTCAATATTGTACTGTATGTGTTGAATAACTATCTCAGGAGGGAAAAGTCTCAGCAGATAAGATATTAGCGAAAAGGGGCTCGCTTAATTTATTTAGTCATTTTAGGGGTTTTAAAAACGAAAAAAATCCAAGGCAAGTTTGAGGGCATCATGTGACAAGCTAAATAGAACACCAATAACACACTATCACTTCCAGTCTCCTATTAATTTATAAAATACACACTTGGGGATTTGTTACTTTCTGAAAAGTTATAAACTGGGTTCAAGAATGCTATTTCCTTTTTTCCATTTTTTATGGCGTTTTCAAACATAAAAATACTTTAATTCCTCATTGACATCAGTTCAGTTCCTACAGACCTACAGAACAATTAATGCAAAACTCTACCTAAATCAGTATAAAATGCTGCTATCCGGTTACAGTACATTAGATTAACTGAAATGTTTATTTAGTTACACTTTCATAAACAACACTGTCTTCTGTCCAGAAATGTTAAGGTACAATAACAAATATGTGTGGGTTGTTTTCTCATGGGTCTCTCCTGTGAAATATTTTAACGTGCAGATTTCTGCTCAGAGGAAAAAAAAGATGGTGGAGCTCATTCTGATTCCCTGAAGGGTAGAGATGCATAAGAAAGCAGCAGAGCAGACTTACCTCCTGGGGTTTCATGTTCAAAACTTTCGTAATTCTGCCCTGAAAAAATCAAAAGTGGTCCCAAGTTACTCGACACAAACATACCTTAACACAAACTATGCGTTTACAAGCAATTCCGCGCACATGTTAAGAAATTGCGCGTTAAAAATTCATCCTTCAAAGCAGGTCTTGAGATAAAATTCAAAACGATTCATAACAGGGACGTACAGGTATAGCTATCAATTATGCTCACCTGCATAATCAGAAAATGAGGATTGTTGACATTGAGCCCAACGGAGCAGAACAAGTCTTGTACCCGGTTGTTGTTGGCATTTACCCCATTTATGAGGTATTTGTTTCTCCCACCAATGACCACCTTTAAAATAGACGGGGGGAAAAAGCACTCAATACAAATCTCATTTATTAAACGAATGCAATGCATTCTGAAAAAAAAATGAAACATACCAGAACTGCAGTCCGGGCTAATGATAAAAACAAATACCTGACGCGTAACAGTGATTTCGTCGTGGGTCTCAAACCCAAGGGGACTTTGCTTCTTGTCAGAGTTGTCAAACGTAATGGAAACAGAGGCCTTAGTGATCCCAGCTTGACCGTTTTTGTAGACCAGATCCTGAAGATTGGACGCTCGCACCTAAACGAGATTTCCAGGGATGATCTTTCGGTGACATTAATAATATATAACGTACTCCCGGTTTCCCCCCGCATGCCTAGGGACTAGCATAAAACACGAATTCATACTGCATCGGGGTGGGGGGGAACACACCGAAAAAAAAAAGTGAACCGCACAGTAAAAACTAGCACTGCTCACAAGCTAGTGCAAAGCGTACGGGCACCCGGCGCTACCTGAGTCAGGTTGGAAATCCCGAGCAGGAAACAGATGGAGTCCAGGATATTGGACTTGCCACTGCCGTTCAGACCGGTGATAGCGTTGAACAACGGGTCAAAGCCATTGATCTCCGTTCTCTGGGCGTAGGATTTGAAGCCTTCTAAGATGATAGATTTGATGTACATCTTCGTTTCAACGTTTTACAAATTCAACTCCCCGATGAACTTCATCCGCAGCTACAGGAAAGTTGTATTCTAGTGTCACCTCCCGAAGCCTTGTTTCAGCTCTCGATTACCTGGGAGGAGGTGAAAAAAGGCATAAACGGTTGCTGTTATACATTCGCTTTCAAAACTGCGTTTATTTTTACCCAAAACGTGAATACATACCTCACACAATAACAAAACGCCACTGTTCCCTTACTCTTCCTGTGTTCAGTGAACTTGAATTTTGGCGGCAGGCAGCGCTGGTCCCCTTTGGTGTTCGATGCGCCTGAAATAATTTGAAAAGCGGTGTAGTATTACAGGTTTGATTCCTTTAATGTATTAAGTTAGAGATATATATTTTTTTCATTATACTGTGTCTTCCTAAAAAATTTTTTTTAAAAAATTGAAATTCAACCATTGTTTCATTCAGGCATTATTTTGCCAGCTAAAAGGAAAATATTTGACGTCACGTTGACGTAGGAAGAGTCACTGCTGATTGGTTGTTTTGAGTTGATTGTCCCGCCTGCGTAGCGCTTTGAAAACAGAAAAGAGAGAAACCGATCAGTTATATATAGTGCTTCTATTATGCTACTTTGTTAATGTCGTATGGTTTTAAACAATAAATGGCATGTTTATTTGCATAATATGATTGGGGGGCAGCTTTAAAGGAATTCTCTGTAATTTAGTTAAAAATATATAATATAGCTGCGGAGTACGATACATACATAATTGTTGTAATGCGGCACAATAAGGACAAACACATTTTTGTTCGAAGCACTTCTCTGTTTCAGTTAAGGCAAAAAGACATGCCGCTTCAAATACCTCAGTTTGCTCTACGGTTGTGGTTAAGGGGGAAAAGTCCTCATTTCTCTGAAGGATCCGCACCCCTGGCTGTTAAGGGAAACCTTTGTTACCCTAATTTCTACCTCGTCTGCGCATATTTCTCAGCCTGACATTAACATCACCTGTATTTCAGTTTAGGTTCCAGTGAAATGAAGAAATGAGTGAACATTTTTATACCGTATTCGTATTAAATATCTATATCAGTCCCGTACAGGTGGTTGATGTCATTCAGTGGCGTTCACCGTTTACAACGTGGAAACTGCAGTCCTCACTGTGCCATTTTGGCTCCGATTACTCGTGCTCATCAAGGTTGGGTGTAGACGACGATTGGAGCCAACATGGGACCAGTTTCCTTTCTTGTTTTTGTTAATATTATTTACCTGTATTAAGATTAACGTTTTTTTAATATTGAATTCGGGTTCTCGGGCTTCTGCCCTCACATGGGCTGGAACCCGGGTCTTGCCGGCTGAGCTAAAGAAGACTTTCTTTAGCCCGGGCGGCCAACATCACTGTAATGCGCAGGGGCGTATCCTTTGCTATATACTTTAATGTTGGCTGTATGTGGGCATTTTTTCCATTCTATTGTAAAGGTTCAATGTTCTGCACGGGGTTATGTGAACTGTAATGATATTTAATTGTAATGATCTTAATGTTTAAGCTGTTCAGTATCATTTTCAGTCTGTGCAAAATACGATAAGCTAATTATATATTACAATATAAATCCTTATCCTAGAACCTTAATTTTAAAAAAGGCACTTTTCCTCAAATGGTTCACTAGTGTGAGTACATTGCTCCTTTCATCCAAGCTACAGGTTTTGTTTAATCTTTACAAGTGTTTTACAGTCGCAGACTTTATTACAGAAATCTGTTGGCACATGAAATACAGAAGAAAACAGCCACTGTGTGGCAGCAGTACATTACAGTTGTGTAGCACATATTATTCTTTCGTAGAAATTGATTCTGTTTTGTTAAATGTCTTACAAGGGAATCAAACCGGATCTTACAGTGATGATTTCTGGTGCACAATTACCCTGTTGGGAAAACTAATTTCATTTTCCATCTGTCTGCGTTATGCATTTTAAAACAGGAAATGACTAAATTTATTCTTTAATCTCTAGAGCAGCAATATTCTTTGTCCAGCATTGATAACAATACTGAACACTATTGACTTCTTAAATTTCTATTTCTATAATGTATAAATATAACTTTACTCTCCTTGATAACTTTCTTTATCATTTTCAACCGGGTACTTTGTATTGTGTCTTAATGATTATTTGTCATTTGGCCGTTTTCAATTGGTCTGCATCAACTGAGATAAACTGAGCAACAATGATCTACGCATGGCAATTTATGGTGACTGATATGTTAATACGACATATATGTGACATTTTTTTTACCCTACTTTAATTTCTGAAGAGAATATCCAACGCATCACCAGGACGGCTTTCTTTTGTCTTTGTAACGTTGCTCAGTTATATTAAGTTCTGTCAGTGCCAAAATTCAGTGGGTTCAGAACACAGCAACTGACTGAGTACTGACTGGGTCTGACTTTGTCAAACCCTCTGTCTTGACATTCCTGTTGAATTTCATATAGATGCCAAGATATCACTCTTGTTTTTTAAGGCCCAGAAGGGAGTACCACACCGTTATATTTCTGACCTCCTAAGAAGGGTACCCCGAGCCTGGTGCGGGTCTGTAGTTTACCCCTTCTTAAAGGTTATGAGTTGCTGTCCATAGAGCCTTTTCCTTCTGTGCACCTAGGTTACTGTATGTCCTACTCTTCCCAAGAAATCAGGAATTTGGAGGAAAAGAAAAATAAATCAGAAAAAGAACTGGCAACCAGACAGTCATCTCGATTTCCCCAATTTGCCAAATTTCATCCTGGTGGCACAAATGTTTAAAACCATACACTGTAGAGTGAAAGGACCAAACACTTGGAGTGCAGAAGCAGTTTGTGTCTTTGGCTGTTTCCTTGTCACTGTTTAATTGGTGTTGAATGTCTAAGTTTCAAGGTAATGTTGTTTATACAGGACTAAATAAAGGAAGCAATTGTCTGGCAGCCACCTTGACTTATGCAGGTACTGTACTTTATTTTCTCCTTTGTTCATCCTGCATAAACAAATCCTGTTACTAGTGTTATACTGTACCTATAAAGTTTAGAGTTAATTAGTCGAAAGCTTTTTGTAGCAGAGGAGCTGTTATTATACAGTAGGTCTTGTCTCTCCAACCATGCAATCACTCAGTGGGAAGCTAGAAAGAATTGGTGCAGTCTGTGAAGTACACTTTTGAAGAAGATCCGCATGTAATTAAATCCTCCATGTCTCGAGTCATTTGGTATATCAATTCTTAGACAATGGTCATTTACATTTTGCAGACCAACTTATTCAGGCAGCCATTGTGATTAACATACTGTAGAGCACCATAAATGAATTGTCCTGTCACATCTCACCAAGCTAGTGAATCAGTGTAAGCAGCAGAAACACTCAACAGTCTTTGCAACAGTTAAGGTCCAAATGAGAAACTGCTTTTTTTCTTGAAATCTTCCTAATTTAATTTAAGATGGTTTTGCAAAAGGAAATTGCAAAAAACTTTGCTGTGACTCAGTTAATAGATTGTATCTGGTTGGAAGTAAAGTTAAGACTCAGACCTTATTGAATAAAATACTGCTACAAGACTGTTTAAATCTGCTGAATTTCTGACACTGCCTCATTTGAAACGTACTAATACCCATTTTTATTTTGTTTCTATGACAAATTTTAGCATTTTGAAAAAATATAAAAAATGTGTGAATGAATTAACCAGTTTTGATCTGATGTTTTCATTTAGAAGCTCTTTAATACAGTATAGTACTGTGGATTAAATGTAGACAATGTGGATGTTTTGCAAAACCACACTGGTTAACACATTTTTTAAAGTTCCATCTGTTCATTTAACTTCACTAATATGTTTTCTTCTGCCTGCCTTGCACAAATTATGGGTAATTAAACAGAATCATTTAAATTCACAAAAATGTACTTGCTTCTCTGTTGTTCAAGTATAATCTTTTCTTTTCAATATTAACACACCTGGGTGAATTTAGGATTATTGCATGCACAATATTTGACCCAACAACCCAAAATACAACTAAATATCTAAACATTCCAGGAAAATCTGCATTGTTGGGATGAAGTTTCCATTGAGGAATATTTATGTTGCTGTGAATACTGTGAAACTAATGTTAAGTAACATTTTCATCATGAGATGGCCTGAGAAAGTGTGGTGATTCACTTCATAAATGTGTACCTTTGGGTGTTACATTACCGGAGAAGCAGATCTAAACACCTCTTTGTTACAGATTGGCTCCGTAGTCCGTCTCGGGTGTTGTGTTTAGACTCCTTGTGAAGCGGCAAGAGCTGAAGGAAGCGGGAGACGTACTGTAGTTCGGGGAAAACACACAGTGGTTTAATAGTGCAACAAAGTAACTGTGACAGTTCGTGAAATGGTGAGCAGGGAAACAAAGACTGGCGTCCAAATCCAAGCAGGTCCGAAGGAGGGTCAGGGCACAATCCATGAGTCCAAAACCGGGAGACCCAGCCTGAGACGACACAAGGTTCAAATCCTTGTGAGTGGGAAAACACGAACATACTGTACATATCCAGGGATAACGGGGAGAGGTCAGGCGATGTCGGGGATGAGGCCTATACCCTCAGGCATCCAAATGCTAATACTGAGCACTGGAGGCACTGGGATTAAGTGGAGGGAGATAAAAGAAGGCACACCTGGAGAATGCATTTCACTGTTCATTCTGAAGAATCCACTGGGTTAATTCTGCCAGTGCCACTGAGGACCTTGAACACTTGTATAGGGCCTCCTTGTAGTTTTCTCTGTTAAAGTATAAAAGGGTTCTGGTTGCTCTTCTCTGAACTGATTCCAGAGAAGCAATATCATAATATCTTTTCTATAACGTTGTGACCACAGGTGTCTACTACCCACCCCCATACCCTCTCTCAACAACCAGACAAGCTTCCGTTTTGTTGTTTTGTTTTGTTGGGGAACATGGAAACATGGAAACCCCTGCAGAGACACTGACTCTCACAGACATGACTTGACAACCCCTGACATACTGTAGAGACACAAACAAACCTAATCAGAATCTCTCTGGGAGGTGGAAGCGAACAGGAAGACCTGGAGAAAACCACACAGGCACAGGGAGAACATGCCTCCCAGAGGACTACCAGGCAGGAATTAAACCCAGGACACTAGCGCTATTGAGAGATCACTTTATTTGCCTCATACAATTTCTTGTATTAGGAATTTGACTTCTCGCATACCCCAGCTTGCTCTCCATGAGACACACAGACAAAGAGAGAAGCTTGGGGTCAGAGCGCAGGGTCAGACATTTATACAGCACCCCTGGGTATGCGTGGGATATGAACCAGCAACCTTCCAGCCACAGGCGCAGATCCTTAGCCACAGGGCCACCGTCACTAATCACCTTGCTACCAGG